GTCAGATCATAAGCTTCGATAGGTTTCTCTCTTTGCAACCTTTCCCAATGTCCGATTTTGACGTAGCCTCGTACAATGGTGGTGACGATGACTTATATGATGACTTCGATGCTGTCGAAGGTACCGAGACCGCTGGTGCCGAGTCTGGCGAGGAGAGGGAGCTCGCACTGGACCAAGGGGCGCGTGGTCGAACCTATTGGGGCTTCACATTGACTGATGATGCCTCGGCCGCTGAGGCTCTGAGGAATTGGGTCTCGTACCTTCCTGCTACCCAGATTGATCTGGTATCTGATATTGGTGATAGTAGAGGCATCTATGTGGTGCATATGGAGAGCCTCCTCATCAACGTATTACAAAATGAAATGCCCAATTTCGATAAGCAGCCGATCTTTGCTAAGGCCTTATTCTCTATAGAGCGATGCCTTTCCATCTTAGAGGAGCTTCGAGGGACTGCTGGTATGCGATTGGTGTTCTTTGATTGTTTCGAGGTGTTGTATCGGACGAAGGCAAGTGTCTACTGGACACTACGAGAGGCTCTTCGCCTGCATCTTCTCGCGACTAAACCTGCTCTGGTAAGGGTCTTCAAGGACTGGGTCAACGACTCTGCTTGGACCGCCTTTGTGGAGGAGCAGGGTGTGGCGTTTATGGTTTGCGGCGATAACGATGTGCCCTTTGTTGCCCCAGAGGATGATGAAGGGCAACCTATGATGCCCAGCGATATGGTAGAGCTAGCCCCAGGGCTCCTACAGTGCCTAGCTCTTGATATGGTTACGAAACATCAAATTCGTGTGGCGATAGTGAGCACGATGGAGAGGCGCGTGCATAGGCTTATGTCGGTGACCATCGGCCCAGAGCGAGGCCACCCTGAAGTCCTTGCTAGGGTCACCCCCGTGGTAGAGAGTCTACTCAGCACTCTGAAGGATGATGATGAAGAAGACGAGGAGGACGAGGAGGATCCTCAAGCGTTCGTAGAGCAGATAGAAGGGGCGGTCAAGGACTATACTAAGCAGTTCGGTCCTGATGGGGGAGTTCGAGGCTTCATCACACGAATCGGTCTGGAGCAAACTCTTCAGGAGTGCATATCTTTAGTGGAGGAAGAGGAGGATGAGGAGATTGCGAATGGTCCGATTGAACTATGTTTGGTTTTTGCCAAGGTCGTGGCGGCTTGTGAAGTGTTGCTGGAGGAGATGCCTCTTCATGCTCGATCGCATTGTACGTTTTCGGATGAGGCATTCACGCTGGTCTCCTCTGGGGACATCTCCAGTGCCTTGGATGACTTCTTCGTGAACTGCCGACTTGTCCTCACTCCTATGGCAGACTACATGAAGACTAACCCCGAGTATATGGCAGGAGTTGGTCTGAAGAATGATATTTCTGATATGTTCGATTCGAGGCTCTTCCGAACGGTCTTGTACTTGGTCCTTGCTGCTCCGGAGAAGGACGGTATCACATTTGACCTCGGGAGGATCTTTGGTTTCCAGGGAAGGTCCTTAACGACCTATGAGAGGTATTGGAAGTCTATAGTCGGCGATATTGAGTTCCCCGACTCACTGGCCGCGCACGCGGAAGATTCCTCAAAGGCGGTGCTTTCGATCAAGATGGAAGTTCCATGTGCAGGGTGAGGTTTTGAGCGTTTTTATAAGGGGGCAAAGCTCTTCTGTCGTAGATGAGCTCCCGAAGGAGCCGGCTGAGGC